GATTATTAAGATAAAGAATAGAGCTAACTATAAACTAGTAAAGCTTAAGGATAAGTAAAAGAGAGTAAAAGAATAGGAGCTATAAGCCTAATATAAAGTAGAAGAGTAGAAGAAGCTCCTTATTATCTAGTTCTTAATAGATATTAAGGGTAAGATCTTAAATACTATTAAAGGAGTTATAGAGGATACTATACTCCCTTTATATATATAAGGTAATAAATTACCTTTTTACTTATAATAATAGTAGATATCTAATATAATAACCTCTATTATAATAACCTTTAGACTATTTATTTAATATTTAACCCTACTAATCCCCTAGGAGAATAGGAGTCTAGTAAAGAAATTCAGAAAGAATTAGAATATACTAAGGAAAATAAGGTCTAGCTATATTAAAATCTGGATAGGAAATATAAGGAAGATCTTACTTATATATAATAAAATATTATAATTTATCTTTAAGTATAAGATTAATATAATAATAGTAACTAAACTCTGAATATCTTTTAATAGTAATAGCCTATTAAGATTATATATTAGCTATTAGAGCTTTATTTTAGTATTAGAATAGGGAAAAGAAAAAGAGAATTAGAAGAAAGAATATCTAAGGGTTATTATTTACTATAGAGTAGACCTAGGATATTATAGGGAATAATTCCTAACCCTAAATAGTAGGGATATTATAGAAGTAATATATATAGGAGTCTATATTCTTAGATATTATTATAATATAGTCTATTATCTAAATAGTCCTATAATTATTACCTAGATACTACCTAATAAGATAATAGTTACTAGAGACTGAAATATAAAAGATAAGAGATAGTAGCTAGATATTAGTAAGAGAAAAGATATCTATACTAAGATACTTATAGACTAGCTTAATAAATATAATCTGGATATTCTTAATAAGTCTGGTATATCTATTTATAATAATAATATTATTAATCTAGCTATTACTAATATACTTAACTATAGGATATATATAGTACTATATCTTAGAGTTACCTTAGACTATATAATACTTATTACTAAAGTATCTCTATAAGAGCTATTATACTTCCCTCTAGATAAGTATAAGCTTATAGAAGAGATAACTCTAGCTTTTATTAAGGAACTCTAAAGATATATTTACTAAGTACTAAAGAAATACTTAATACTGAAGTTACTAAATAAGGGAGGTAAGATACTAATTAAGATCCTTACTAAGGTACTTAAGAAGATAGGAAGAAAGAATAGAATAAATAGGAAATTAAACCCTTAGTAGAATAAAAACTATAAAGATACTAGTAGGGAAATATAGAGAGTAAATAATATTAATTCTAGATCTAAGATATTAAAACAGGCTGAGAAGCTATTTAAAAGGATTTATAATAATAGCTATACTAGGTATTATTATAATAAGATAGATAGAATAATAAATAATAAGAATCTATTTAAAATAGCTAGCTAGTATAACTCCTAATTATAGTTTTAAACTCCTTTGCTTTAAAATATAGTAAATAAGAAAAGTATTACTAAAGTAAGAGAGAAGGTCTTCTTTCTTAAAGAATAAGTTCTAAATAAAGGCAGATAGATAAGGGATCTCTCTAATAATTAAGTACTAATAGTCCTAAGATAAGTAATCCCCTAGGATACTATAGTTTTACTAGAGGAAGTTAGAATTACTCTTATAGGAGTAGGTAATACTATATCTAGAGCGGATAGGCTAATAGTTATAGTCTTAAAAGCTATATAGCCTATAATAGTAGAGTTAGTTAGAGATCTATATTAGGCTTATTTAAAGGTTAGTTTCTACCTATAATACTTTAGATATACTGAGGTTATTATAATCCCTAAATAAGAAAAGGATAATAATCTACTTAAAAACTAAAGATCTATTTCTCTTTTATCCTATCTGGGTAAGGGTATAGAGAGAATTATAGTATAGAAGCTTATATATTTAGCTATAGAAGAAGGGGTTATACTAAGAGACCTTATAAGTATAATCCTATATAGATTAGCTACTAATATTATTAGGGCCCTTATATATAAGATTAAGATAGTAATATCTAATTAGTTAGTATATATACTTATTATAGTAGATATTAAAGGAGCTTTTAATATAGCTCTTAAGAACTAGATAGCTCTTAGACTAAAGGAATAGAACTAGAATAACTAACTAATAAGATAGATATACTTATTTATATTAGATAGAATAGTTAGAGTTAAGTATAATAATACCTTTATAGATAAGAAGGAGATTAATAATAATCTGCTCTAAAGCTTCTTAGTATCCCTAGTCCTCTACTACTTATACTATAAACTAATATATTAATTTAGAGAAGTAAATAGTAATCTCAGATATACTAATAACTATAGCTTTCTATTTAAAGGGAAGAATATCAGGTAGATAAACCTAATAATATAGAAGATACTTAACTAACTAATTAGATAGAGGAAGGAGTATAGTTTCTTCTTTAGTTTAGATAAAACTAAACTTATATACTTTATAAGGAAGAGATAAAGTAATATAAAAGAGTACTTCCTCCTCTATAGAGATAAGGTAGTTCTAATATAGAATAAAATAAAGTAGTTTGGAATTTATCTTAATAAAAAGCTATCTTTTAAAACCTATATTAAGAAAAGAATAGTATCTGCCTAAAAGATTATTTACCTAATAAAAAGTATTAATAAGATTACTAGAGATCTCTTATTTATATCTACTAGGAAGGTTATATATATAATCCTCCTTTCTAAACTGCTCTTTAGTTATAAAGTCTAATATCCTAGGCTAATAGTTAGATTATACTATAGGAAAGAGAAGTAGTATAATTAGACTAATTATAAACTGAATAAGATAATTAAGAAGCTCTAGATAACCCTGAATAAAGAACTTAGAAGAATAATCTTAATTTAGAAAACTATATAGATTCTAATAATTATTAGGGAAATAAGTACTTCCCTTATTAAGTAGATCTTTAAATATAACTACTTTAAGTATACTCTTAGATTATATACTCTAGAGAAGTTCTACCTACTAATAGATAGAATTCTTAACTTTAAGTATAAGTCTAAATAGGGTCTTCCTATAAGGAAAAGTAAGCTTATAGAAGTATATAATAACTATATATCTTTCCCTAGGAATATCCTTTAATATCCTAGATTCAGAGAAATCTAAATAGAACTAATAGTAGATAAAACTAAAACTAATACTATCTTTCTATAATAGCTTAAGGAGCTTTAGCTAGATAAGGTAGTAGTATATACTAATAGCTTAAGATTTAATATTCTGGAATATAGCTATATCCTAGATAGTATTAGATACAGCTAGGCTATCTACTAAGGGAACTATCTTAAATATATAGACTATAGAGGGCTAGATAATACTAAAATCTTTAATATAGAAGTAGAAGGTATAGTAGTAGGACTTACTAATATAATCTAGAAATTCCTAGAGAACTATATTAATATCTATTTTAATAATACAGGAGTAATATATAGGCTTAAGGGGTTACTATCTAAGACTTTATAGAAAGTATTTATCTAATTCTATAAAGCAGTAGACTTATATAAGCCTGGTATTATAATTAAATAGGTTTCTAAATATATAAAGATCCTAGGTAATAAAAAGATAGATATCTTAGTAAAATAAGAAGTAAAGGAGGTAAAAGACTATAGTATAAAGTATATAAGGTCCTATATAAAAAGGCTAGATAAATACTAAGCTAACTATATATTTAATACTTAGTAGTAAGATAATACTCTATAAGGATATAAGAGCTTAACCCTTAAAACCTTAATTAAGATTACTAATAAGGTTAAATCTCTTAAGTATAAAGAGTTATACTAGCTAATTATAGTCTATACTAGGTATAGTAACTATATATAATACTATATATATTTTAAATATAAGGACTATAAGCTAAGATATAAGTACGGATTAGATAAATAGAAAAGATATATCTTTATCTATAAAAAGGTAAAATATAATAAGATTAAATTAGAAGAAGTTATTTTTAGTAAAGAATAGGAAGAGTTTATTAAGATTATAGGGAATAATAAGTTCTATATATTAATCTGCTTATAAAGAGAGGGATTATTTTAGCTAACTATATATCTAAAGTATATAATAATTTTATAAGTAAGCGCTAAGTATAACTAAAGCTAGGATATATACCCTGTACTACCTTTCTAGTCTATCTATCTCTGTATGAGCTTTATCTCTTATTAATCTCTCTTTTATTAATTATCTTACTAAACCCTATATATATATACCTAGATAGCCTATTAGTAACCGGATGCCCTGTGCCCCCAGGGGGGATATAACCGGCGTTAAATAATACTACTACTACTACTACTAGCTAGGCCTTAAAGGTAGATCAGACCTTACAGTGGCCTGCCGCAGGCTACTGGGTTCCCTTAAAGGGTTATTTATACCAGCCTGGATTTAAATCAGGGACCTTATTAAGCGGGCTTACGCTCTAAGAATTGCCAAGTTTGCTAGGTTTGACTAATTCTCTCTTAGGCCAGCAACACGTTATGTGCTGTCAGGAGCAACGCGTCACGTGCTGTCAGCAATGTGTTACAGCTCTCAACAAAGTATAAAGCACGGATTGCTCATCCGGTTAGTAGTCTGATCGCCTCAGCATGAGAAACATTCGTCTTGAAACTATTTTACGAGTGTTGAAACGGCAAGGCAAAGATGCACGGATCCATTCATTGGCAGTCAATTCTGCCTTTGACATGGACATGGACAATTTTTGTCTCGTCGATTATCTTGACGATCCTCATAGCGTACGTGGCAACACAGATTGCAGAGCAGGGCTCTTCACCGAATAGACCGCCGACCGCGCCGTATGCGCTACCACTGATCGGCCATGCTCTATCATTCGGGCGCTCCGGTGCCGACTTTCTGCTATCAAACAAGTAAGTTACCGCTCAAGCGCCCCTGCGAGAAAGTTTGGGATCTAAGTATCATACGGTCACATAGGAGACGATTTGGCAACACACCTTTCAAGATGGTGTTGCCTGCAGGCTTGACACAGTACGTTGTAACGGGGCCTCGAAATATAGCCAAAGTATTCCGAGCCGAGGGCATGCATGCGACACTTTCCCACGTCATTGCAATGGAAAGATCGTTCGGAATCTCACCGCGTGGACTGGCGTTAGTAGGTGATCCCCCTCTCGAACTTCGCCTTGATCTTCAGGGCGCGCGTGCCTTTTTGAAAGCATGAAATATACTGAACCATATTCATAATAGTATGCTGCCGATGATTCAGGTTTCGGCGCTCAGCCTCAGCCCCAAAGCAAGGTCGATCCGGAGAATAGGGTTCTGTATCAAATTCACAACCTTGTCAATCAGAACCTCGCGGGGTCGTCCTTGTCTGTCATCACAGAGAAGTTCCAGGAATTCTTGGCAACTGAACTATCAAGCATAGAAGCGATTGGGCCCGACTGGACTGATGTCCCAGATCTTGGCGAATTCTTACAAGTCCACGTCATGAGTGCGGCCTTGAAAGCTATGTTTGGGACTTACATCTTGTCACTGAATCCAACATTCATCGACGACTTTTGGGCGTGGAACCCTGAGATGGGTACACTATTCATGGGTTTGCCGAAGTGGTTGGCTCCGTCTATTTATGAGAAACGCGAGCGGGTACTGCAGAATATTATGCGTTGGCACGACTATGCCCATGCACACTTTGACTGCCACAAAGTGGCGGATGAAGATCCAGCCTGGGAGCCCTACTTTGGGAGCAAGTTCAGCCGCAAAAGACAAGCCCTCTTCAGTCGATGGGAGGCCATGGATAAAAGGTCCAGAGCAGCCGAGGACATGTCTTTCATTTGGGCGTAAGTCATATGCAGATGTGGAAATGTTCATCGCTGACTAGCTTAGATCGAACGCAAACTCTGTAGGCGGATCCATATGGTTCTTGCTAGAGTTGTTGCTCGACCCAGCACTACAAGATCGTATGATGAATGAATTCAGATCTGCGATGGTTCACCCCAAATCTTCAACATCAGTCCCAACGTTCAATGTCGATAGGCTCACTTCAGGAGCGCTATGCCAGTCAGTCTATGCAGAGACTCTGCGCCTTCGAGTAGCGATAATGATTGGTCGGAAAGCCAAGTACGACATGGACTTCTCTGGATGGTTTGTCAAAGAGAACGAGACTGTCGCTATCTCCAACACTATAGAGGCCATGGATACCAGCATTTGGAATACGGGAACTGAGGGTGACCCCCATCCTCTGGAAACTTTTTGGGCAGATCGGTTCCTCATTTATCCAGGCGATAAAACCAGCGGGCCAGTGAAACGGCAGTTGGCCTCGGAAAACTCTTCGAAGGAAACTGAAACCATTGAGATCGAGCGAAATGATCCTGCACCATCCCCAGCACCACAATTCAGCGTCAAGGGTGTTGGTAACTCCTGGGTCCCCTTCAGCGGCGGTCCAAGACACTGCCCCGGAAGACATTTTGCTAAGCAAGAAATGATTCTTGTGGCGGCCATGGTAATGAGCGCTTTTGAAATTGAATTGAAGGTAGAGCCAGGTTGGAGGCCTAAGAACGACACGAAGTACTTTGGGTTTGGCACCATGCCGCCCTCAGGTATAATTCCATGCAGAATCAGGAGGCGTACACAAATAGGGGTTTGACCGGGCGCCTTCGGTCTAGGGACCACATACTCGCAAATTCACCGCTGCCAGTATGGGGTGGAGAGGTCGGGAATATCTCAAGTAGTCGTCCGTGTAGATTCTACTAAGTTGGGTTACTACCAAATATGTGACGCAGGGGCTCGGGGTCCTTGGCCATGTAATCTTTGAATGAGCTGAGCCCAGCCTGAGTTCAGAACCAATTGTCTCACCGGATACTGCCTGTTACCTTAGTCAAGTATCAAGTTGAAGGCTTGACCACCACTCGCAAGACCGCTTTCCGTTTGTTCTAAAGTGCAGGGGCCCAGTGCTATCAAAAGCATCAACTGGGATAGGGGCTTGTATCAAGGTAGTGACTTAGCGTTCCGCGGAAGGAATAGCTTTGCACCGAGCCGGTGTCGGCAAGCTTGCAAATCAGCCGAACTTTAGTATATCCGAGGGCCCCAGACAAGCAATTTTACCAAGGCATCATCAATCTATCTATACCTACCTATCTATACCCGGGTTGATTGAAAATGTTTCAACACAGCATTAGGCCTTTAACTCCCTTGTTACGCCAATCGCTGCCTTCGGGCGAACGATCATCCGCCTTGAAATCCATTACATCCACTGCGGGAGGCTTTGGCCCGGCGATTTGCAGCTCATCCTGCTCCTCACAATCTCCCCATCATGGTGCGTTTGATCTACGGTTCCATATTGTCTGCTTTTCCCCAGGCAATCTCACCACTGCAGCCTACTGACGCGAGATCTTTGCAGACCATCCGATTCAGCCGGCATCGAAGACCTCATTGAGGCTTATGCCACTAGGAGGTTCGGTCACGTACGGCGTTGGGTCATCGACTGGTAACGGCTACCGAGAGTTTCTCCGCGCGAAGCTCGACGCTCATGGCTACAATCCTGTCCTTGTCGGCTCGCGCAAGTCAGGCTCCATGAGCAATAATGAAAATGAAGGGTGGCGGGGGTATAGGCTTGATCAGATAGACAAGAAGGTCAGGAGTTCTGTTGAAAGGCTAGCCCCAGACGTCTTCACAATCAACGCCGGATCCAATGATTGCATCCAGGATTTTAAGCTCGACGAATTCAGAGAGCGCATGACTGACATAGTTCATTTCCTTTGGCAAACAGGTCCGTCTTCAACAGTTGTACTATCCACACTTCTCGTCAACGCCGATGACAAGGTAAATTCACGAGTGCTACGCATAAATGAGCAGATCCGAGATTTGGTCGTGCAAGAGACTAGCCGTAACAGTAGGATTGTTCTTGCGGATATGCACGGTGTCGGGGGACCACAAGTTGATGATCTTGTGGATGGAACACATCCTGGCGATACGGGCTACCAAATCATGGCCGGCATTTGGTTTGATGCCATCCAAAAAGCTCGAGGAAAGGGCTTCTTTACCAAATAAACTACATGACATCTCCTGGTTTCTAGTTCTGCCGCAGTTTAAACTTGCAAGTTTCAGAAGTGTCTCATGAAGGGAAAATTTGCTCTTACACTCTTAGTTGCCCTTCAATGCTGTCTCTTCTTCATGCTCGTGCAGGATCGTTCATAGAAAACGACAGTATTTGCAATGTTTTAGGGTATCGCTGACAGTATTCTCCGTGGGCAACACCTCGGTCCTCTAAGCCAAAACCACGAGAGGTTGAAGATGTTAAGAGAAATCGAAGCGTCACCTACATCGAAGTTACAGTTGCACACCGTGGAATAGAATTCCATTGGGAGTGACACTTGAGGGGCTGATTGTAGGCACCATGGTTGTTCAGATGCCAGGTGATGGCAAGTGAGAGGGCTGCTGATAGGCACCAAGTCTGTTGTCATAAATCTCAATTGCTTATAATCAAATTATGTTCACGGATCGGTGGCTTCCCATGAACCAGCCTCACCATTAGACCCATCGAACTTATAATTCCAACGCCACACCTCAGTCGGATCCTGTAGATCCAACCGGTCAACCTCTTCAGGCACGATAATAACGACACGAAATTACCTTCTCGCCAATTCATCTTAAAGGTCACCAACGTTTTAACCAACCCTAAACCAGCACCCTGCTCCTCGCTTCGCGGTGTTCCGGATGGCGGGTTCCGAAAAGATCCTCGCATCCCTAGACTAAGGTTGCCAACGTGAGCTGTCAACTCACGGCTCCAGCTCCAGCCTCCCTCTCCAGTGCGGCGCATGTCCCTTCCGATAATATTCCGGATGGGTGACGCAACGTTGGAATCGATATTCGGCCCTATCATGTACACCTGCCCCGGATAAGCCACTGGGTTTGAGCCTCAGGAGCCCAGAATACCGCTTTAACCAAGCTACTACCTGGAGAATGTGGCTTATCACTAATGTTACTGCGTGGAAAGTTTACATCTTACCAAATTCGCCTGTCGATGATGATTGTAAGCAGGTCGTTTTCTCATATAAGGGCGGGTTGAGTCCCGCCGTATTATCAGGGTGGACAGCAGGTCCTTCGAAACACACAACGTCTGCAATAAGAGGCTGCAGTGCCTGAAGTTCCTTGTAGGTGGTAATGTCTACAATTTAGGTCTTTGCCGGCGGAAATTTCTATTTCTTCTTCGTCAAACTCCTCAGCCACTGCAGAGGTCAAGCATTGCTGGTTCTTCTCGTATTCTTCAATCAACTCCTTGCAGTAAGGGTCAAAAGAGAGTGAGATCATCCAAAGTCGCAGTAGCTTTCAGCCGAAGAGACTTATCTTAGATCAATTCGAGGATAATGAGGGAGTTGAAACCCCGGAATGCATTATGGGCGAGTGACTCCTCTGTAAGAGGCCGGAAGCAGGTGGCATAGACAGTAAGGCCAGCAACCGCAAGGTCATAGTAGCCTACGTGATACATTCCTGTGTCAATGATTACCATGTATGTAACGGAAATTGTGGAAAGAACTTTTAAAATCTGCCTTGCCAAACCTGGAGTTATTTTTCTGTTATTGTTTTGATTCCTTTCGGCGGGTTATCCGGCCGTGTTATGCAAGGCGCTTTGGATTGCTACCTAGTCAGCTGAGATCGCAGACACCCAAGGTGTTGCAACTTGCAGTCTGATTCGCTCGAAGAGTGCATACGAGTGGAAGAGCACCGGTCTAAAGAAGGTGTTGTGGCAGCTTAAGTCCGAACCAAACCAGCTGTAGCTTGTTGCTTACTTCTGATCTGGGTAGGGCTGCATACTCTCATGCGACAGGAGTCATGCGCTCAGAGTACGTACTTGCCTGGCGCAAAATAGAGTCAAATAGTTATAATTTTTATTTAACTATTTATCAAGTTCGCTCAGCCCATTGCAGCTCCGACATATATACATAAGTCCTCATGCTCTTTTGGCAACTCGTAGCATGAGACGGCTTCTATTGCCGCCACTCACTGCAATTGTCAATTATTGGCTATCACGAAAGATGACTGACAATTCAGACTCGCAATTACGAGCTACCACAATAGACTGTTGGTGGCTGTTGCAACCCATCGACAAGTGCCTCAAGGTTGTATGAGCATCTTGATGTCACAGAATAACACCGAGATGCCAGAAGTGGTGGTGAATTTCACGGACATCGTGATTCGAGTGGCATGAGGAAAGGACACGAGTTGGTGACAGCCAAATTCTATAAAAGCCAGAGAATCATCCGCAATAATATGGTCTCAACTTCTCAACAACCACAAACAACTTCAAAACACTCACAAGCTTCTATCAACACTCCCAAACCATCAACAAAATGAAGACCGCTTCGATCCTCGCCGCCGGCACTCTCATTGCCAGCATTGCCAGCCCCGCGGTAGCGGTTGGGCCCCAGGGCCAGGCTGTCCAGATCAACACCTACACCGACAGCATTTGCACCAAGTTTAGCTCCGAACGACAGATTTACTACGGGAAGAGTCCCAAGGTTGGAGACTGCTTCGACCTCAATCTGGGCGGCGGCGTGCTGAGCCTGAATGCAGTTGGCGTCTGGGACAAGGACACCAGCGCAACCAAGAAGGGCCACTGCAAGCTCTACTCGGACTTCAAATGCGCTGGCAAGCAGGACATTCAGAGGACCTACTGGCCCGACGGTGGACCTGGATGCTTGAACTCCCGAGGACCTTCCGGATATCTCTGGAAGAGCGCCCAGTGCTTCGTCGACAACTAAATGCACATTGCGATCTTTTCCAGTTTCATGGAACGATTAGTGGTGATTGTTGCGAGATGACCAGTTAGATGGCCTACGCATGGGCAAGGACGGTAGACGTGGAGATTTTGAGAAGCAAGGGGGTTTCAGAGAAAAGTACAAAAAAAGAGTAAAAGGAGAAGCAAAGAAAAGACAATAGCCTAGATCAGGATAGTGTAGACCATATATCCTAGAATAGTGAACTACTCACCTGCTATTACTCACTTGGTCGCAGTTTGAATCGTCCGTATTGCGGTGCTATAGTGAGTAAGAGAAGCTGTGACAATTTGCCACAGCTATAAATCACCAAGTAAAGCGGAATTAATAAAAGATCGAATTTCCTATTGCATAATGAAGGTCTATAAATGCGTGCCTATTGAAGCAATGGTATCACGTGAGATGTCCCGTGATCTGTTCTTCATCACGTCACAGAAGCTTGACGAAAATCTGTCAAAAGCCTTCTTACCCTATAGCGACAGGCCAACACGATCTCTCGAGGGCTTCTGCGGCCGTCCCCATCCCAGATTCAAACTCAGACTGGTTTAGAGGACATCTTGAAATTGGGAAAGATGGGACGGAGTGCGCTGACGGAATTAATAGATTGGGTGTCCGTTACAGATGTCTAGGTTTCTGGCTCAGATGAATCTAGCTGATGATCTAAACCGTTACTCGTAGACCAAGTCGCGGTGTTCGCCAGCCAATCCTGGTATCACAGTTAGCCAATCACAGCTCGCGAAAGCCATTTGCTACTAGCCCTGTGGGGAACCCTGACTAATGAGACGCTAGAAGCTATGGGTTCTTCATTGGCTGGGGCTAGAACTCTAGCTTCTGATGAGCTAAGACTATGTATTGCGTCATTTATCCACTCAACAGTTTCACGCTGACGAATGATACTTCTAGCCCCACTCAGCCCACCCCTTATTACAGCTTGGTGACAGCTAACCCACGTCTCCCGTGTACAGCCCAGAGACTGGCCAGTCTTCTGCGAAATATGGTATGCTTAAGTCGAGATTGGCTGAAAAAATGGCATCGGCCCGTCCGAGATCAAAACTCGGGTCCAAGTTGCCAAAGATCTCCGCATCGCCAGCGTATTCGTTGAAGGAACCCATTCCAAATTGGTCGTACAGGTCAGCCGATACCGCCGGCGCTGCTCCAAGCGGCGGCAGTGGTGGTCTGGGGACCTGTCCGGGCTGAGACATCTGGCTGGCATCCCGTGAATCTTGGGTACCTTCATCGGCAACAGCCTCTGCTACAGAGCTGTGTGCGGCGTTCGAAGGCGGTTTGATGCTATCTCTCCTTATCCTTGCGGCTCCTTGCATTGTGTCTCTGGCAAGTCTTGCCATTGCTCGTGCAGAAAGGAACGTCTTTCCGAGATCGTCAAGGATTTTGCAGGTGTCTTGGAAGAGCGTGAATGCCCGCCGCCGGCTATAGGCCGTGGCGCTTCTTCTGAGACTTCTATATGCGACGGACGCGGCCACAGTTACCGCATACGGGAGGATGGGCCAGTAGATGAGGGACGAAATGCCCTCTCCTGACGCAATGGCCATTATTCGCGTCGCGTAGAATCCTTGGAGTTCGGAACTGGACTGATTCTCGGATGATCTGTCTTGCAGAATCACGGCGGGCAAGTAGAAAAGTTCAAGGGAAGCTGTTCGTCGTTGAGTTAGTGTCAACGTATCATTACTGAAAGGACCAGCCAAGCCTTACCTAATAAGCTACTGCTTAGATTCTGCGCCGATGCCATCTCGATAAGCTCTTCGAATGTGTCGGGATTCTTTTTCCGGGCTAACTCGCTGGGGCGGTAGAGTGATATCGTGTGTTCGAGAAGTTGCGCAATGTGAATGAGAAGCTTGAACGAGGGCGATTGATCGCCGATGGAGTCCATGACCTTCTTGTCCGCATCATTTCTATGAATGACAGTAGGTCGGCCGTTTGTAGCTGCGTTGAGCCGGTCCAAGACCCAAACACACCAAAAGATTCGGCGAGAACGCTCGCCCCCGGCCTTGTCATCTGGCCAGCCGACATGAAACCCAAGTGTTTGCTCGTAATGGATTGCCTGGGCACAGTAGTGCGTAGACAGCACGCCAAAGTCTTGGTCGTCGGTGTACATGGACATCAGCGTGCAGACTTGCAAAAGCACAATCTTATCGGCGATGAAGCCAAGGTCCAAGGTCTGCTTCACTGCCGCAGCTATGCGAGCTCGGAACTCCAGTTGTAAAAGAACTCCATCATGATGTGGCAACCGCAGGTGCGGTCGCATCGCCGGATCTGATGAAGCTACCAAGCAGATACACTGCTTGAGGGTCACCGTCTCGATATCGCCATGTTTCTCCCAGGGCTCGTCCTGTAGAAGTGGGAATGTCGGGTCGATTTTGGTGTAGAATAGATCAGAGAGCAATCTTAGCTCAGGTTCCGGGGGAATGACGGCGAGGCACTCACGCCTTAGGGCAGGGCGAAGGATCGACAGCAGCAAGGTCTGGCCAGAGAGCCCATCCAGTACTTGCCTAGGCACATTCGAGGAAGTTTCGTTGTTGGCTACGGACGTGGCCTCCTGAGTGACTTCTTCATCTTGTCCGAGCCAGAGACCAACGCCATGTCTAGAGATGCTGTCAGAGCCCGCTTTGTGAGGCTTGTTGATGATGAAGGCTGATTCTGGGCTCAGGCTGGCAACAAAGCGCACGTGAGCATTGCTGGATCGTGATATCGGCCCTAAGGCAGACGGGCGTGGTCGTGCTTCGGTCGAGACTTCGCTGAAATTCGTAGAGGTTGGGAGTTTAGTTGTATCCACGTCGGGTTGTGGCCGACTCAACGTAGCTACAGGTTTCTCCTGCGGCGCATCCGCTGGCAACGAGCGCGGCGATGTGCTCCTCCGCTCATGCTGGTCTGCGTGGGGACAGCGTTTCTGGTGAAAAGTCAGACAAACTATCGATGTTGGCTGTTCCCCAGACTACTTACGTGACGCCGCTTGCAAGACTGACATGGCCCTGGAGTTAGTTTTCGCTTCGTCCCCGCGCCCCTGACATTATCGGCAACGAACTTGAACATGACAATGACAGAAGAGGGAATCTCCGACCTTAAACGTGTCGGCGACCGCGATGCATGCGGGCGTTGAGGCAAAAAACGTGCAACATCGGCGGGGTTTCACGTTTCGGGCACATGATTTGCGGGCACAGAAACCGGGACATGAATCAAGTCACCGGCCACCCTCGGACCACACCGGAACTTTCACACGATGTAGCACATCATGGCATGAGGCCGGGACCAGTCCATTGGATGGTGCCCGGCCCTTGCGGCGCTTCTTCGGTGATGATCGTTCCCCACAGGCCCGTTAGACCGTTAGACTGGGCGCGTGTCGGGGCGAGAAGATCGTAATTTGCTGCTTCAGGCAATTTCCGAGGGGCGGCGGGTAATGCCTCATCCGAGCAAACGCGACTACGAGAAAACTTCGACAGGAGTTCACAACTCTATACAAGCTTCGAATCCCCAGACTCCAGATTTTGTTCCCCCAAGCTTTTCCCCAGACTCACTGCTTATCACAATCACAGGGCAGGTTTCTTATCTGAACGTTGCACTTCTCACGACCACCTTGTTGACAGTTTGACTTGGGCTCAACCAAGCACCGTTCTTCGCCATGGGTCTCATGGGTTCCATGAAGATTGACTGGAGATCTAACAAATGGGCAATTCTCTTCTGTGCAATTGCCTCTGTTGGAGCTCTCTGTTATGGATATGACAACACCTATTACAATGGTGTCTTGGCCATGCAAGAGTTCAAGAACGATTACGGAACCCACTTCGACGCAGACGGCAACAAGGCGTTGCCCTCATCCTTCCAATCCTTGACAGCATCCTCTATCTACATCGGAGACTTGTTTGGTGCCCTTATCGCGTCGCCAATCAACGATCGATGGGGTCGCAAAATGGTCTTCTGGATTGCGTCTACCTGCATCCTACTCGGCGGTATTGCGCAGGTCGCAGACACCAACCACGAGGCTGTCATTGTTGTCGGACGTGTTGTCATGGGTCTTGGCGTTGGTCAATTCACAGTCACAACTCTTCTATACATCGGAGAGGTAGCGCCGACATCTATCCGTGGACCGGCGCTGATGATGTTCCAATGTAAGTTTTCTTTACTACTTGTGTCGGATGGAAGAATATACTAACCATGCTAGTTCTGCAATCTATCGCCCAGTTGGTGGCATCAGCCATTACCCAGGGCACCGAGGGTGTCAAGAGCTCGATCTCCTACAAGATTCCCATGGGTGGTCTTATCGTCCTCCCATTGATTATGTTCATTGGCCTGCCTTTCATTCCGGAAAGCCCGCTGTGGTATATCCTTAAAGGCCGTCCTGCCGACGCTGAAAAGTCCCTGCGATCCATCAACCGAGACAAGGCCGACTACGATCCCAGCGAGGACCTTCAGAACTTCGAGGAGATCAAGGCAATTGAGGAGCGTCATGCTGAGGGTTCCTCCTGGAAGTATCTCCTCAGCGACCCCGTCGAGCGACGCAAGCTCTTCTACTCTTGTGGCGCCATGGTCTGTTCTCAGGTTTGCGGCATCCTGTTCTTCTACGTCTACGGTGTCGTCTTTGCCCAGGCTATCGGCATCAAGGATCCTTTCCTCATCCAGCTCATCACCAATATCTTGCAAATCTTTGCTGTGGGCGCATCGGTCGTTACCGGCAACAAGGTGTCTCGACGTATTAACTTGTTCGTAACCAATAGCATGATGCTATTCGCCTTTATTGTCATTGGTGGCATTGGTACACAAGGAACACCTACACGGGCAGCACAATACGTGATTGTCATCTTCTCCTACTTCGTCATCATCGGTGAGTAAACTTTTCAATCCGAATCTAGGAAGAGCGGACTTCTAACAATAACAATAATAGGCTACAATTTCGGTATCGGTCCATTGGCCTACACCATTGCCCGTGAGATGGCCGTCGGTGTGAACCAGAACAAGATCATGTCTACATCGATTGTGGTGTTCTACTTCGTTACATGGGCGTTTTCCTTCACTGCCCCGTACCTGTACTACGATGCCGGTCTGGGACCCATGATCTGCTTCGTGTACGCCGGAACGACCAGCTTGACCCTCCTGTACACGTGGTTCTGCGTTGGAGAGACGGCAGGGCGCTCGAGCATTGAAATTTCATACTTCTTCACGGAAGGCATTCCTGTCAGGCAGTGGAAGACGCACGTGTTCGATTCTCTCCATGTCAGCCCCCAGGAGAAACAGGAGGCCGCGGAGGACAAAGCTGGTGCTTCGTACCACGTGGACACGAAAGTCTAGACGGTGGGCATATGATCATGTCGGGTTCAAGATGCAGATCTTGCTCTGGCAGCTATTGATCTAGCTGCAAGAAGGTCTTCTCTACCTGTATTTGTTGTCGACAGTCAGACTTCTTATTGTATTTGATAAACAGATAAAAGCCGCTGCATCAGGAAAGATTCAGATTCTACACACGTAGATAGGCTTTTAAATAGATGTAATACCATGTTCTTCCGCTAAAGCATTGCTGGTTGCCGAGTGACGGTGAGAAGTTGTCAAATATAGCATCTGATGACGCTTGAAGGTCGATAGGACATGTCTGGTACTGCCTAGAGACACGTCTATATCGTCGTCCTCAGGCGGGAGACCTACATCAACCTCATTGAGAGGAGTAGGCAATGGCTTGTCTCGAGAAAAATTCGCAAGCGTATAATCCTAGCTAATTCATCAGCGGGTTCTTGCCAGCGTATAAATTTCCGCAACAAGAGGTGGATTAAGTCCGCAGGGAGGCGCGGGGACCGAGAAAGCGGGAGCCGAGAAAGTCCGCCTATAATCTCACCAGGTTATTGCGGAATTACATCGCCCTGTTCTACGACCTGGCTATTAGAGATATGAGGTAGTTTATGTAGAGGGCTACAAGGTATTGTTTGTCCGAGCTATTGATAGTAGTCAGTCTTCGGAGTCCGTTCTTTTGATGTTCTTAAGCCTATTTGATGTTCTTAAGCAACGACGGGTAACTGGCAGCGCTTGGGAGTTTGTATAAAGGTCGAAGGACCGGCTGCACGAATACTTGGATATCGCCTCACAACAAATCCAATAACCAACCTATTACAAAATCTCAGGTATGCTGCCCATCCTTTTCTCTTTATCTTTCATGTGGGACCTGCTTGTACCAATTGCAGCAGCCTTGTCCCCTGGTTCAACTACGAGCGACCCGCCTAATCCAAGCATTGTGTGGCATGAGTGTCCTCCACAGACACCAGAAGGCATTGACTGTGGTTCTATCAATGTCCCGCTTGCATATGGCCCGGCAAACTCAATCGATTCAATTGACAACCGGACAGTATCGCTCGAGCTGACACGCCTCAATTCAACTGGCAATGCGCTTGAAAAAGACGTCATGTTCTTCAACCCTGGTGGACCGGGAATATCCGCAGCCTATCTTGTCATTGCATCTACTCTTGATCCAAACCTTGGTTTCTCACCCTCTCTTAGGGAGGCTTACGATATCATCGGGCTCGACCCGCGGGGTGTAGGCTGGAGTACGCCAGTGCAGTGTGACCCCCATATCTACAATGAACGAGTCCCGACCTTTATCAATGACGCGACAGGATATGACGCCCTCGTCAGCTATGGACGGCGCCTCAGTGAAAGCTGTGCTGAGCTCACTGGCCCTATGATCAATCATCTCGACACCATACATGTCGCCAAAGATCACGAGCTTGTGCGGCGCGCTCTTCGGGCTCCTAAGCTCAACTTCCTCGGCTTATCCTACGGCGCTCAGTTGGGACCACAATACGTGTCCCTTTTCCCTGAGACTGTAGGTCGTATGGCCCTCGATGCGCTGGTCGACCATAGCCAATCCGAAACATCGACACTCCTAGCAGAAGCTGTTACATACGAAACAGCTCTAGACAAATTCTTCACTTGGTGCGACAGAAACTCATCCTGTGTTCTCTATGGTCGCAATTCAAGGCAAGTCTTTGACGCTCTGGTTGCCCAAGCCGATGCTACGCCAATCCCAGCACCAGGATGTGACGATGCATGCCGATCTGATGTCACTGGGGAAGAGATCCGCTATAACGTTCAATCATATCTCCGATTTATTGACCTACCGATTGGCCGGAACTGGCTCGATCTTGGAACAGCACTAGCCGAGGCTTCTCAGGGAAATGCAACTATGCTGTCCAGTGAGCTAGCCACCGAAACATGCTCAACTAGGCCTGATCAGTCCCCCTTCCTATATATAGCCCTTGGCTGTGTCGACTGGTTGCATCAATCCCGATCAGCCATAGATCTCCAGCAGAAACTACAGATGGTGAGGACATTTGCACCAAGGAGTGCGGGTGCTTCATGGACATATACCTACCAAAGCCGGTGTCTGGGATGGTCAGCACCGGTGACGAATAGCCAGACCATGCTAGATAAGGGCGTTAGCAAAGCTCCACCGATATTGTTGGTCAACTCAATCTACGATCCAGAATGCAGCATGGCATGGGCCCAAGGGCTGAGGGAGCAGTTGCCAAGCGGGGTGAGCGTCACCAGAAACGGACACGGGCATACTAGCTATTTCCTTCAAGGCGAGACAAGTGAAGCAATCAATAAGTTTCTAGCTACCGGAGAGATGGTAGAAGATGGGACTATATTTAAGACATAGGATCATTCCTAGGTGGTCTAAAGCTATGTTAAAGATAGCCTAGTCAGTGTAAAGAGGTGAATAGTTGATATAGACATATATCTTGTATATTATCTTACATAGAAGTATGGAGAGCTAGTCAAAGATCTCATCTAACAAGTGCTTCGCAAAGGAATCTTCAAACCCCGACGATACCATTCTCCTAATCTGGTTCCCGCTACTCTTGCCTAGCCAGCCACCAATGTCCACTGAAACTCCGGTGCTCAAACCGTCTCGCTTCCGGCGGTCGATCGCGTGCATCCCTTTCGTCCAGTAGCCCGTTGTCTCGATACGAATATCTTCCAACACATTGGCGGGTATCCAGCCTTGTTGTTCACGCTTCAATACATACCAAATCGTCAATGGATCATGTAGCGACAAACGCGGCTCCAAGTCACTTTCCTCTGTTGTGCTAAACTTGTCAAATGTCGCGCTGAGGAAGTGGTCTACCCATTTTGCGAGGGGACTTCCGAGTTCCACAAGCGGCCGAAGCTTTTCCAAACATGGGCCCCTTCTCAATGGATGAGCTGTGGTGATGTCTAGCGGAAAGAGGGTGAGGTTCAGCAGCCGCGATAGTCTCTCTGGGTAGGCAACCAGGGAAGACAACATGCCCGTTCCTGGCTCGGGTGGAATGTTTGTTTTGGGGTTGCTAGACGTGAGCGCGTACACGCGGGCTGCCGCGAAAGGGTCAGCATAGGTGTTGAACTCGGCGAAAGGTGTCACGTTGCCCGGGACATGGACGTTTCCGCCCATGACCACGAGTTCCTTTGTTTTGAGAAAGGTATCGGGGTCCTTTGCTGCTGCCAAGGCTAGGTTTGTTAGAGGACCGAGGGCAATGATAGTGATGGAGTTTGCAGGATTCTCGTCCAGTAGCCGTAAGACCTCTTCATGTGCTGGTTTGGTCGAAGGGCAGAAAAAGTTGTGTAGATGAGTAGCAGACTGCCGCTCCCAGTTCTGCCCATGATCCTGGAACATGTCTGCCCAGTCCTTCTCTGGCGCGAGCTCCGAATAGCGTTTGTAGACTCCATAAAGGGCGTCGGGATCCTCTGGTATCATCAGCATTAGCAGAAGGAACAGATGCAAGAGAGCTTTCAATTCGGACCTAAAACGCCAGCTTCATCTGTTTGAGCCTCTAGTGAACATTTGGGTCCGGCAGCAACAATTGGCTTGGATTTGAACAAGGCACTGTAGCGCTCCTCTCTCCCTGAAGCTTTTCGCCAGGCAAGTTCCTGGGCAAGGACATGAAAAGTAGCGACAACGCTATGGAGGGAACTGTTGAACATCACTTAGCAAACTTTTACCACGAATAGGGTTTTCATGTCGGCCAACCTTGCCAAAGTTGCGTTTCCATATGTGGCGGATATCATCAACACCTCTAGGTCTTGGGGGAGAGACGATAGTGCTAAAAGTAGTGCCAGGATGTCATCGACACCTAAATATGTAAGTGCGAGATTCTTACAATTCTTGACGCATGCTGGTACTGTTCAAACACACCTGGATCCGTATCTATAATGACTCGAGCGCTGGGCTTCATATTTTCGTGTTTTCCGAGTGAGAGTGGCTCTAACAAGAGACTTGAATCGAATGTTGGGAACAGACTTGTCGTGCAGGATTTCAAAGCACAGGAATGGCTTGGCTCATCCCCAGCTTTGTAAATACATCGGGGGAAGGTCGAGGCGAGCAATCCAAGACCGAGCAAGCTGCCCTAAACCAATAAAAAAGCCACCACGGGTATAAACTTGCGCACTACGGGGATAAATACACGGCTACCGGAGAATGGCGTCGCACACTGTGTGGGACGGATCCTGTATCTTCATGTCGTGAACCTCTCAGTTCTTTCAAGCACTCTCCGAATCTCTGACGATCATCAGAGAAAATGAAAAACAAGACCCAGTCAAAGGAGGTATAACTAAAAACTAAAAGAATAAAGACAATTTGTGACTTGTTTGCGCTTGTAGTTAATAATGAGGCATACATATGTTGGCACAGTACCGTGGTCTCATCATACCTACCCAAACAGAGAAGGCTCTCCGCAATCAGCACTTTGATCCAAGCGCGGTCCCACCGTCATTCAACCGATACCATGGAACTGGGTCATGGTGTGAGGGTCTTGATACTGCAGCTCCGATACCCGCGATGTGGCGGTCAGCCACATGCGTAAGAGCTAGACGTTGGTGACATTCGTGAACTTGTAGGGTTATAATTATTCTGTTAAGCTTAATGTGGGAATTTCTCTATAATTCCTGGCTAAATCAGAAGAAGCAGCAGTAAACCTGATCCCTCGTTACCCAATTTTACAAAAATGGTTAAATTAGTATGCCTAAATCCCGAGATTTGCGCGGCTCCTCTGTCATATCGCCTCCTACCGAATAAGAATGACTAGTCCTGGGGCTTTCTTATCAGTTCAAGGACGAGCGAATTCATCTTGCGGGCGCACGCTGACCCCTCCCACTTGCGCTATTATAGCTCACGCACCCATGAGGCTGCACAGTGCGTGTGCCCTTCCTGTAGGAATGAGCTTCATTAGGGCGGTTGGGCGGCTGTCCCCCTTGCGGGGATGCGGGGATATCGATATGGTTTCACGGGGGTGGGTTTGGTTCGCTAGATGCCAGGGTCTGCCTTGGACTTGCTCGGCGGAGGTGGCTATTTATACCCTCGTCTTTGCTCTGAAATGCGTGGTTCATCGGATGATCCTCTCTTTCTTTAGCAACTGTCATCAGTCGGCTATTTTCTAGTTGTTGACTCTTCTTGGCAATCTGTCAATCTGTGTTTGTGTGTGGCCTAGCCCGTGACCATGTCGATCTTCCAGCCATGGCTGGTGCCCAAGAGATCCAAGTTCTTGAATTTCATGTTGATTGCCTGTGCTACTGTCACCGCTTCAGTGAGTAACAACACCTGAAGTACGAAATACTGGACGAGTAAACTAACCGGAACCCTTGTGCTGTAGACTGTCGGCTATGATGGATCAATGATGTGTGATATGCCTCCACAATGAACTATACTAGAAGTCATTTATTCCCATACTGACAATGTTATCTCGTCTCCACGTAGGAATGGCCTCAATATCCTCCCCTCTTACATTGAGTACTTTAACATAAATACCACGACCAAGAGTGTGGCCACTTCTGCCCTCTATGTCGGCTCCATTGTTGCAGGGCTCACCTACCCATTCGTCATGGCCAGGGTCAGCCGAAGGGCGGCCATGTTCTGGGCGGCCTTTGGCACCATCTTCTTCGTGGCACTCCAGGGTGCTTCCCAGAATATTGCCATGTTCATCGCCGCAAGAATCGGCATGGGCTACGGTAAGGCGTGTTTCACCATGGCGGCCCCGACCTATCTTGCCGAGACATTCCCCTACAAATCGCGCGGTTGGGCTCTGGGTTTGATCTCTGATTTCTACTATGTTGGTACGCTCATCCCCCTTGCATCCTCATATCCTGGACAGAATTAACAAACTCTCCCTGAAGGAGCCCTTGTTGCTGCTGGCATCACATATCGTACAGCCAAGATGGACAACACTTGGTCATGGCGGATTCCATCCATCATTCAGGGTTTCTGGAGTTTACTCTGCCTAAGCACGCTCCCGTTCATTCCCGAATCTCCCCGATGGCTCGTATACCATAACCGCCACGAGGAAGCACTCAGAGTACTCGCGCAAATTAATTCGGATGGGGATATTGATGATCCAATTGTCCGTGTCCAGCACAAAGAAATTGTCGACACGCTCGAATACGAAAAGTCCGACGCCGGACACCTGAATTGGAAGCAGATCCTCAAGTCCCCGAGTGCTCGAAAGCGGTTGTCTTTGGTTATTAGCTGTGCTCTGGGTACCATCATCGTAGGCGAGTGCAGCATTTGTAGAGACTCTCATTTTGTTCCTAGAGGCTGACAATGATACAGGCAACATGATTGCCACTTAGTATGTTACGCCAGCCATGGTGAATATTTAATTGAGAGAGGCAACTGACCCTAAATATAGTTACTTCGGCGACATGCTCACAAACGCTGGCATCACCGACTCCGATACACAGCTACAACTGGTACGTGACAATGGCAACTTGTCCTTTCCACCCAGCTTTAATCAAGATAAGGCGGGTCTAATTACAATGAGCTACAGAATGTTATACTCAACGCTTGGTGCCTGGCATGCGCGATAGTTGGCACACTTTTCTCTGAGAGGATTGGCCGCCGACCCAATGCCATCTGGTCCACCCTCACCCTGACAGTGTTCTTGTACATTGTTGGCGCGCTTACCAAGTTCTACGGCACCTCCGACAACAAGTCCGGAGTCTACGCCACCGTCGGCTTCATCTTCCTATTCCAGGGTGCTTACTCCTTCGGCTGGACCCCTCTCGCGTACTTGTACCCGCCCGAGATCCTGAACTACCAGATCCGCACGTTCGGCATGGGCCTGAATACCTTCACCATTTTTGGTTCAGGCATCATCTTCGTCTTCGCGACGCCCTTTATGCTCGAAGCATTGGGCTGGAAGACATATATCATGAATGCTAGCTGGAACTTTGCCCTGCTGGCCTTTATTTGGTTCTTCTGGGTGGAGACCAAGGGCAAGACGCTGGAGGAGATTGATGAGATCATTGAAGGTGTGAAGCACAGTGACGCGCCAAATGTTCAACTTGTCGAACAGGGAAAAGTCGACCTTTAAATAAGCGAAGTGTTTCCTGCACGGGCCCCTACTCACGGTGGAAGCCAGGAAACGCCTAAAGAGCATGGGTTGAATCCGAATCTTGCATGATCCTCATTATTGTTTTGCCTTCTAGGGTCTTTGGCTTTCTAAAATGACGAGCCTTTCTTAATCCAAGAATGAAAACAAAGTCTTTCCTCTTCGAGTATTGGAATCTACCTTTCTAAGGTCTCTTTTCACTTACGCGCAAGTAAACACTTGTATCTTCGAATAAGGGTACCAACGTAACCGATAGTCTTTAGAACGCTATACTAATCAAGTACTCCTTCACGTGTGTATAGAATGGTTGGATTCCAGACATCTAAACCTTCCAATACTTGTCCATTAATTCCTTGACCTTCAAGGGCTTAATCGTAGGAAACTTCTCAGTGAGCGAGCCCTCAAACTTGATCTCGGAAAGCCCCTCAGCGGTCCATCGCTCAAAAATGGACAAGAAAGGTAATAGGACATCTTTTGGAAATCTTTTGTAGTCATTCCGATGCCCTGGTAACTCGGAGACCTCGAACTTCTTCAACTTCTCGAGATCGTCATACTTGACATCGAACTTGACACCGCGAGCTTCTTCTGCTAGTTTGACAAGCTCGTTGTATGTTAGGGTATCGCCGACAACACGGAGCTCGCGTGGCCACTCCGGGAGATCGAGTGCTGCAATAACAAAACGCGCCGAGTCATGGATAGACGTAAGAGTGAGGCGTTCATTACCAGTCCCAGGGATCGCGGCGGCACCATTGGGGATGTCCACGACCAAAGTAGTATGGTCGTAATACGACTGCAAGGTATCTGGAAAGTAATAATCCAGGAAAATTCCGTTGTGGACTACGGCCCACTCGAGGTCACTGGACTTCAATGCCTCCAGAGAATCAAAGTATGCTTGAAGCGGAGGGAGAATCTGAGGACCACTGGAATTAAAAAGTTAACCAAGATAGGCCTCAGTTTCTCTCTCGTTTTCTCTTACTTACTCTTCAGGATATGCTGTAGCAAATGAACTTGGAATGAATCGCTTAGTGGCCTTTGAGGCATTTGCAGCTTGAATGAGGTTGCTTTGCGAGACTGCGAGAGATTTGCCGTTGATGCCGAACGCACTGATGATAGTATGGACGTCATGCTCTTCGAGAAATGCAGTCAGTGAGCTGACATCGTCGTAATTAACGGTATGCTGGGGTAACGGAAGAGATTTCTCCCCAGGGTCCTGCGATGGTCTTTAGTATCGTTCTGCAATTAACCCAGGACTAAAGTGGTTGAATGACTTTTCGTGTGAGGATAATGCCCTCATGCTTAGTCTGGCCAGCCAGAACATCTGCAAGTGCCTTGCCTACGGCGCCTGTTCCTCCAGCGACTGCTACTTTGACCATTGTGAACAAAGGGGGATTGGGGATCGTTTTATTTTAAAACTCGAAAGAAATGATGTGAAGAAAAGACAAGGTCGTGCATTGGTACTGATACGTCTACAGAGAGGATACGCAAACTTTATATTTTACACAACTGTACTATGGGACACATTGCCGGGAGGCAAATCCACCTTGATCAGTACACTCGTGGTCTACGTAAAGACATCCATTGACAATGTTACCTTGTACTACTACCTAGAAATACGATATCAGTGGCGAATCAGCTTAGAGCGTTGGACGTTGCCTCTGTCGTTAGTCAAATTTGATGGCGGAGCTATGAGGCCACCGCGCTGGAAAAGACCGAGTATTTCGCCGCTAGAAATTCAGTGAGGCCAATGAAGTGAAGTTCGAGTTGTTTTTGCAGCGGGAGAACTGGACTTAAGAACCGGAGATAACGTAATTGCACCGTATCTCCTCATCAAAGTTTCATCTTTATGGTTTCTTCAACAAACTTTAGTCTCCCGATTCTGTGTCGGGGTCCGCGGCACTCCGACAAAATCCACCATTCCCGAGCATTCGAACCATAGATAAGACAGGAGAATAATGAAGCGACAAAATCGAGACATGTATGAGCTGATTCACTGTTTATGAACTTACCACTTGATTTCATCCCCAATATCACTTGATCGTCTCTATTCTCTAAGATGGTTTCCAAGTACGAGAAGTATTATGAGTCGTACAAGACCCCTCGAGGCGCTGGCGATGCGAGACCAACTGCTCAGCAGATCATTGAGGATGAAGGCCTCGTCGGACAATGGAAGGGCAAGGTGGTGATGATTACAGGCGCCTCATCCGGTATTGGTATCGAGACAGCCCGCGCACTCGCGACCACTGGCGCTGAGCTCTTCCTCCCCGTACGTAGCCCCGACAAGACTAAAGAAGCCCTCAACGACTTGATCGAATCAGGAAAAGCTACTTTGATGGATCTGGAGCTCAGTTCATTATACAGTGTTCGTAAGTGTGCCGAGGCCTTCCTAGCCAGGAAGCAGAAGCTCAACCTTCTGATCTGCAATGCCGGCTTGATGTCGTGCCCAGAAGGCCGCACTGAGGATGGATTTGAGACGCAGTTTGGCGTTAATCACCTTGCCCATTTCCTCCTCTTTAATCTTCTCAAGGACGCACTTATTGCTGGCTCTACCCCCGACTTCAATTCTCGCGTTATAATGCTATCTTCTAGCGCTCATCGCTTTGGTTCTGTCAATTTTAAAAACCTGACGTTTGAGGGCGAATATGATCCTCACAAAGCATACGCCCAGAGCAAGACAGCAAATCTCTGGATGGCCAACCATATCGACCGATTATTCGGTGATAAGGGTGTCCATGCCTGGAGTGTCAACCCAAGCGTGGTGCAAACTGGCCTTGGCCGCTTCTTAGATGATGCACAAGTCCAGGCGGCCTTTGCAGACGAGAAGACTGCTAAAGAGGCAAGGTCCATTCCCCAAGGAGCCGCGCCTACTATTTACGCTGCGGTGGCCAAGGAGCTTGAGGGCAAGGGTGGCAAGTACACGGAAAATTGCAACATTGTGGGACCCCAGATAAATTCTGGTATCTACGATGAGGGTTATGCTCCATGGGCATACGACGAGGCGAGCGAGAAGGAGCTATGGCAAGTTTCCCTCAAGATGGTTGGTCTGGAATAATACAACTTTTATTGCGCCCCTTTGTGTATCTTCAGCATACTTCTTACTCTTTGAGTGAGAGGGATAATCCGTCCAGAAGATATGCGGTAAACCGCTACAGATTTAACTTTGGTCTTCATACCACATTGCGTTCTCAGTACGCGCTCCATAATTAGAGCCTCATCTCGCAAGTCATCTAGACCACAAACTTAAAAGATCGCAGGCGGATGCCCAACATGGCCGGTTGGCCAGGTTATAGTGTTTCATAGGGTCGACGGCCGGTCTCCTTGGATCGCGCCGTAAACATGCGTAGGGCTGTTGTTCGAGTGAAGCACCACCTTAGCATTCGCTACTCGGCTCATCTTGACGACTGATGCTACTCAAGTCTCAACCATCTCTACAACAAATTTCTGCAGGTCTAAATCCCGCTGAATAAGACCATCGCTCTCCTTTGAGGCCCGTATGCTCGTCATGCTGACATACGATCCGAACGTTTGGATTTCCCGAGGGACCTCCAGCGTGTCTGAAAGTCCATTCCTTCCGCTCTCCGCTACTGCGATGGCAAAAGTGCTCGTCTTTTCAAATTGCTTGGCCAGGATCCTGCCATCTTCCCATCGCTCGCTCAAGGTCCGGAGAATAAACATTACATCTTGGATGGCTTTCCACAGATCCGTTTGCCTCACAATAGCAGCTCGGCTTGCTACTTCCCCTCTAGACAAAGAAGGAAAACACAGCCTCCAAAAGCTATATAAGATGGCAAGACCGGCCCAATAGGTCTTTTCGGATGCAATCTGTACGTAGAATATGCTGTTCGACTCGACCAGCTGGCGATATGTGGCCACAAAGCCGAGTGAGGCTGTCCAGAGCTCCATGTTCTCCTCTACCGATCTTTCGGGGGCAATGCGGCAGGGGCGGTATAGGAGCATCTTGCCCATTGACAATTCACTCTCCACAAGTTTTTTACTGCCGTATGTGGGAATATTCTCCTTTTCCCACCAATCCAACTCGGCTTTGAGAGCAAGAATGATCTGGCTAGGAGGAATAGTACCTCTTTGTGGCTTTCTGTTCAAAGAGTCGTAGATTTTGGATTGGAGCTGAAGGGCACGATACCGCTGGAGATAACCTTGGATATCGGCCTCTGTGGCGACGGACTCGATACGGAAACTGGGCAACAGAGCACCAATTACACAGTCTGATATTTCAGTTGACCGACCGCAGCTTAGGCTCATGGATCTATCAAACGAGTACATACTCCACCACAATCTCCGCCGCGTTTCCAGAAGGCTGGGACTGATGGAGTCGGGGGGTTGAGGGTCTTGATGTAGGCCTAGATCGATACAATTACGCATTCCCACTCCAATCAGGCACCAAGCGTCCAGAGCCGAAGGGTTTAACATCGCATATTGGATTAGAAACAATAACGCCTGGACGCCGACAATGGTATTAGGTCGCACAGCAGATTCTCTGTATTCGAGGGCGCGATTCAAGAGCCTCTGGGCTTGAGTAGATATGAGACTGTCCGCACTTCGAGACAGGCTCGAAGATGAAATAGCAAGCACGATCAGTACAGTGAAGTAGCTGTTTCCCTGATCAATATCTGCAGTGCCCCTCTCTCCGTGGCTTTGAGGAGCGATGCCGTCGGACGTAAATGGGGAGACGCTAGTGGGGAAAACGATGTTGAACTGTGCCCAGAATCCTTGAATGGAGAAAAATGGAAGTCTTGGATAGACCTGTTCAACATAATGCTGAGCTAGTTTCAACGCAACATCCCTTCCAGGCATCCAAGTTGGACCGACGTGGCTAGCGCGCTGTGTGAGAGAAAGGGGAGTTTTGCTTGCGGCTCCAAGGAGGATGGTTGACAGAGTTGGCCCATCCCCAGTTGACGAATAAGATGATGCAAGTATAGGCAAGGCACCGATATCCGCAATTAGAGTGTCGATGACGGATGTCGATGGTGGATAGGGGTCACCCTGGGCAATCACTCGCGAACCAGGCAATCCTGAGGAGGAATATTGAGTATCTGCCGAGTCTTCCTGTAGCCTTTGAAGCGTCTTTTCAAGCCTTTGGATCCGATTCTGCAGGTAGGTTGGATAGTCTCGCGCCTGGTGTGTACCTCCAGAAGACAAAGAGCATGTCCCTGGACGGCCGAACTTGGTGCATCCCCCACACGCTGGGGTGACTCCGTCGCACTAGTCGAGTCAAAATCAAAAGCCCGAGATATAAAAAATAGAAATGGTCTGGTTACTTACTCTAATCTTTCTGGATTTGCAAAATGAGCAGGCAGACAGAACCTGAGAGATACGAAGCGGGGCGCGTCCTTGGTTGGAATTGCCCAAGTGTTCACTCATCGTGCGGACATGATCCTCTTCTCGCCCAGTTTCCTCCGAGTCTTCAATTCTACATTGAATTTCGATATAGCGGATTGATCGATAGCACCTGATTCAATGCCAGCGGGAAGACTTATTCCGAGGGGTTGTTGCGTGTTGCAACCCCTGACGTTGGAAGAATTGGGGTAAGATGCTCGCCGAGGTCTTGATCACCTGCAGACTAAGATAAAATTAGCGCAGACTAACATCCCAGGATCTGGCAACTCGTGTACGGACGCTAGGTAGTCGTCCAAAAGCAGAAAATAGGGCGAGACGGAACCCCCGTCAATGGCAAGCAGCGTCATCGGGTGTTCCGTTGCTTCACATCTGGCCATGGCAACGCGCCTCGTATTTCTCTGCCATTTCTTGTTAGAATCACCGAAGTGATCAATAGAAGACATGTGTCTGACAATTCTCCCTCAATGGGCAATCAGTGTCCATCAAACCATCCTCCACGCAACTCTCCAGTTGGTGCATATTTCTACCCCGTCATCACCCCATTCTCATTGTCTAATTTGATGTTTCCACCCAAGCTTGACTTATACCAAGTCCCTGAACTAGCCATTTAGTAGTGTATCCATATCCCCAAAAATGGCGCCTGCTCGAGTTCATGATCCCGTGCTCCGTCGAGAGCCCGCAACCCAACAGCGCGATTTCGAGTCGCGCAACATCCAAGTCGACCTTTGCGTGTGCGGCGGCGGCCTGTCAGGCACCATTGCTGCAATATCCGCCGCCAGAAATGGTGTCAAGGTCGTCCTCATCCAGGATAGGCCTGTGCTCGGCGGCAATGGATCGAGCGAGGTCAGACTCTGGATCCTGGGCGCGACATCGCACATGTTCAACAATAACCGGTACGCCCGAGAAGGCGGCCTGGTGGATGAGATACTGCTAGAGAACCTGCACCGCAATCCCGAGGGAAACCCTTTGATCCTCGATACCATCCTGCTGGAGAAGGTTCATGATGAGCCCAACATCCAGCTCTTCCTCAACACGTCGCTCGTCGGCTGCGATAAGGACGGTGATCGGATCAGCAGAATCCAGGCCTTCTCATCCCAAACTTCGCTCATGTTCTCGGTCAAGGCCCCGCAGTTCATTGACTGTACCGGAGACGGCACATTGTCGTTCTTAGCCGGTGCACCTTTCCGTGTCGGCGCCGAGCAGCGTGACGAGTTTGGAGAAAAGTTCGCTCCGTCGTCCGAGTACGGTCATTTACTTGGCCATTCCATCTATTTTTACTCCAAGGATGTTGGCAAGCCTGTCAAGTTTGTCGCTCCATCCTATGCGCTCAAGGATGTAGAGAATCAAATTCCGAGGTTCCGCAGCTTCAATACCAAAGAGATGGGCTGCAGTCTTTGGTGGATCGAGTACGGAGGCCGCCTTGATACTGTTCACGATACTGAGGAAATCAAGTGGGAGCTGTGGAAGGTAGTTTACGGAGTATGGGACTACTTCAAGAACTCTGGCCGGTTCCCCGAAGCTGAGAATTTGACACTTGAGTGGGTTGGTACTATACCAGGAAAGCGTGAAAGCAGGCGATTTAGTAAGTTAGATCTTATTCTTGGCAGAGAGCAAACACTGACACATGTGAAATAGTTGGGCCAACAATCATGACACAACAAGATGTTATCGAGCAGAGATACCACTCAGACGCCGTCTCCTTTGGCGGCTGGTCTCTTGACCTCCATCCCGCGGATGGAGTCTTCTCTGAAGTTGATGGATGTACACAGTGGCACTCCAAAGGTAATGACCAGATCGTCCTCATTGCGTCGCCAAAATTAACGAGTTACTACAACAGGAGTATACCAAATTCCGTTCTCCTCTATGGTCTGCTCCGAGATCCCAAACCTCATGTACGGCGGAAGGACAATCTCTGCCTCTCATGTAGCATTTGCATCCACCCGTGTCATGGCTACTTCTGGCGCAAATGCAAATGCTCTCGGGGTAGCTGCAGCGCTATGCAAGAAGCTCTCCATCGACCCAGTCCAGCTCTTGGTCAAAGACACGATGAAGTCGTTCCAGACTGAGTTGATGCGCTTCGGCCAATTTATTCCGGGCTACAAGCTGAAAGACCCTGAAGATCTCGTTCGCCGCGCGCGATCAATCGAGGCATCCCCTGCTTTCCAACTGGATAGCCTGCCCGCCAACGGTCCTCCCAAAGTTCTGGTCAGGAGCCTAGCTCAGATGATGCCGCTCGAGGCCGGACCGATTCCCAAGTTCTTCATAACGGCACAGGCCGTGGAAGATAGCGTACTGAAGGTGCAGCTTCGAGGTTCTAACAAGCCGTACAACTACACTCCAGAGGTAATCCTAGGAGAGACTTCATTCACTCTCAAGCCCGGGTCAAACGATCTCGAGATCGCATTCGAGGCTACCAATCCCCAAACACAATACGTATTTTTGTGTTTCATGCAAAATGAATCCGTCGCGATCTCTACAACTCTCACTCGCGTCTCTGCTCTGATGACGGTTGAACATGAATGCACGCAAGAGCCCCCTGATGACGTCGGAGTTGAAACATTCGAACGATGGACACCGGTTCGGAGACCTATGGGACACAACCTGGCGATCAGAGTTGATCCTCCCACTCAGGCCTGGGGTGCATCAAATTTGACCAACGGCGTCCCGAGACCGACGAAGCGTACAAACTGCTGGGTACCTCAGGCTTCCGATGGTAACGACAGGAAGATCGTCAAGATTGCTTGGGATTCGCCTGTGAATCTAAAGAGCCTCGTGGTTCACTTCGATACAGACTATGATCATGCACTTGAGTCGGTACTTCGAGGTCACCCAGAACGCAACATCCCCTTTTGTGTAAAGGAGTGGCGAGTGCTTGATCTCTCGCGTGATGGGGAAGAGAAGGAACTCTTCCGTGAGGAGGACAATCATCTTTCTCGCCGCGTTGCAGAATTTGATCCACCAGAACGCTTGACAAAGATTGGGGTCGAGATACTGGCATTGAACGGAGACGATAATGTCCGAGGAGGCATATTTGAGATTCGGGCATACGAGTAATGAAGGTCAAGATAGCTAAATTGAATACCATCTCATGAGGAGATGAGAATAATCCGAAGTGCCAGTAATTGACTCAACCTAGTGATGGTTTTATGAACCAATAATCCATCATCGCTAAGACAGTTCGGTTTTGAACACTCGACACTTGTTCAGGCACCACATTCGGACCTGCCACTCCAACGACTTACTCCCACAGAAGAGAACATGGTGATCACTGTTTGAAATGATAGAATCCAGATCTTCCTTTTCCATCCTCGTGAATCGAGTCTGAATACTCGAATCGTTTTCTACTCGCAGTTCACTAATCTTCTTGGCCCACCAATCTTCCGTCTTTCCACCTACCAGCCCATCAACTTCATCACCGGGCGTGACGAAAATCGTCACAGAAAGCCAGTGGGCGCTCTGCAGGATCTTTTCCCGTACCAAGTATTCTACTAAAGGGAAGTCATTTCCATTAATGCTCCATATCAATGAGACTCTTCCTAGACAGCCACTGGCTCCCCACCGAGCATTTGTCATTGCAAGAAACGGCGCAATGCCGGTTCCTCCGGCAATGCAAGTTGAAAAGCCAATTTTTTTAATATTGGATGTTGAAAAGCCACCTCCTGTGCCAACAACTTTAGCTGTCAATCGGCCATGTGGCCTCGGGATTCCAAGAAGCCCCGTGACACGCCCATTCCTTGTTATCACTGACATTGTTAAACAATCAGAATCTGGTGAGTCGGAGAGCTGGCAAGGAGTGAACGTGAGGCAGCGATCTTCCTCTTTCAAAGACTTAGATCCGTAGATGAGATCCAAGTCATCAGGAAATTGGAGTGTAGCATTCTGCGAGGGTCGATATGAGGCCAGAAAACTTGCACTCTTTGGAACCGAGAAGGTGTGCAGACTGATGCTGGGCGACAATCGGTGAGAAGACTCGAGCTTCACAACATCAGGAGGTTCTGGCCTTCCATGTGATCCAGCCTCAGTCTGAGAATGCATGCTAACGAAAATAATTAGGCTGAAAATATCAATTGAGATCAGGCAATGTGGTAGGGATGGGTTTATGAGAGCGGAGCACATGATCAATAAACTTAACCATGTCCCCTGCAATACTTTGACGATTTGCTCAAAATATGCAGCCAGGCGGAACCTCCGATGGAGAAGAGCCATCGATGGAAGTGGGCAACGGCGGTCCCGTTTCACTCCAGACCAGCACTAACATGGGAATCCCCACAGTCGCGGAAATAGTTCCTTTCCACCCCAGACCAATCCCCGCAACCCCAGTTTCCCTCCAACCGCATTGTACTACTAAAAGGTTAAACTTCCCTGGATGAGGGACACTGAAAGGGTTTCACTATCGGAGTCAATTCACTTGCATACGACTCAAGCCAAAGCCTGATAGCAACCGGCAAGATGGCAGAAACCGAAGTCCACGTTGTACAAGCCAAGCCAAAGGCGAGCGTCTGGCTCCTCATCAGTGTTGGTGTCATGTCGATGGGTTCAATCTTTTGGGGGTATGCGCATTATCCGTTCAAAGACCATAAGGCTGTTTTAGCTGACAGCATACAGATACGATATCGGCATTCTCAGCACTATCTACGTCTCGCCAGGATTCAACAAAGCCTTGAACAACCCCTCTTCAGCATCGAAGGGGCTGATTACAGCAATCTTTTCTGTTGGCCAACTAGTCGGTTTCATATTCCTGGCAGGGCGTACCAACAATCGCTTTGGTCGACGTTGGGCCGGTTTCATCGGCGTGTGCGTCGTTGTCGTGGGTGCCGCGATGCAGACCGCAGCTGTCCATCTTGCTCTAATGGTCGTCGGGCGTATCATTGCCGGTGTCGGCACAGGCATCGTCTCGACTGCAGTTCCGCTCTATCTGAGTGAGATTGCACCGGCCGCGCAGCGTGGATTCTACGTCGCCGCCAATCAGGTCGGGATTGTCTTTGGGTATGTTGCCGTCTGTACCATTTGTATGAATTGCGGAA